AGCGTCCCTCCATCCACCGGCGTGGAGCCTCCGAGGGGCTGGTTGATGTCAAGGCCACAGAAGTTGTCATCGATCGGGACTGGCTGGAAAGATGAGGATTGGGGCAGCTGTGAGTGAAAGGCAAAGCATGGGGCAGCCCCACACACCCAGGCTCACGCGGAGGGGAGCCGGCGGGGCCGGCAGCAGGGGGGGGGTCACCACCACACAACCCCCTGCCCAGGGACCCTGCCAGCACGCGGAGGGGAGCCGGCGGTGCTGACAGCAGGGTGGGAGCCACCACCACACAACCCCCTGCCCAGGGACCCTGCCAGCTTCTGCAACGGCCTGTTCCCTTCACTGCCCGAGGCCAAGACAGTCTGCAGCTGCTCCAAACTGTGTTGGGACAGGACTGGAGGAGGAACCTTAAGTCCAAGAGACACTTCCAATTTTTTTTCCTATATCTACTACATTTCTCATGGGTTTCCCCACTGCACGGCCATGCAGGAACTCTCTCCTCCACTCATTTCACCCCCTCTTAACCAGATTTCCAGAAGTGCTGAACACTATAAGCAGAAAGGTGCTAAGCATCTCCACATTGGCAAAGACTTCCCTCGAAGACCATACAAGCCCTGCTGCCAACAGCTCGCAGCACTGCTGGAATTGCTGTGCGTGGTGTGGGACAGGCTTGGGTCAGTCACCAGCCATAGGACAGCCGGGCACAGCTGACGCCACACTGCAAGAGAGGAGAGGGTGCTGCTGTTCATTCCTGTTGGGAGCAGCCATCTCCCTCTGGCACAAACAGCCCAGGCTCCAGGGCACAGTTAAACCTTCCCCATGTGAACATTGAGCTGGTGGAAAGTGCCAGCCTGGCTGCCTTGGAAGGGCGGGTGGCCACACAGGGAACGGGCTCCGGCAACATGAAACACCCGAGGGCTGAGCAGGAAGATGCACTCGTGCTCCTTCCACCGCCCAGCTGTGCACTTTCCTGCAAACCAGCTCTCTGTGCCTCAGTTTCCTTTCTGCAAGATGGGGAATATGGATGCTGGCTTCTCCCTGGAACACCACTTGCCACGAGTGAGGGAAAGTCATTCTGCTGACAGCTACGTATTATTAAGCCATATCAGCTGAGATTGCTCGAGTAAATTCCTCCACGGCATAGGTGGCAGAGGGGTGACACACCATCACACTAACTGTAATCCACTTATTTTCCACAAAGGACATTAACTACCAAATGCTCAGGCACATATAGTTGCAACTGTGATGGGATGACTCTCCTCTGTGCAAGCCAGCACTCAAGCTTCTCTTCGCCTTCCTTCTTTCATTTCATTTAACCCACGTTTATCTCTTCCCAACAGCCAAACTTAATATGCTTGGCAAAAGAAGGCCCCAGGGATTCTCAAGTCAGCCCAGGAACAATCTGCATGTGAATCAAGGTTAAAGAAATCAGCTGAATAAAAAATACAAAAGACACAACTGTCATTTGTATTTATCTTGTTAGTTTGTTGATACTAACCCTCCTGCCCAGGGAAGGGCAGAGCCTTCCTCCAGCTTCCAGAGCCCCAGGCTGGGAACAGCAAATGCTTCCAGCAAGCTGCACACCTTTATTCATCTGCCTTAACGCTACCCCTTCCTTTCATCGCCATCACCAACTGTCTGATAACAACAGGGATTAAAGAGGAAATGGACTACCATGTCTCTTCTGTGTTCAGGGAAGCTGAGGCACAGAAAGATTGATCCTATTCTGCAAACTCAGATGCCATAGGGCCAGGCATTGATATCAGTTCTTGAGGGCTACCGTGGCCAACAGTCAGAGCGTCCTTACCGCTTTAGTGCACTGGACGTCCTTCCCCAGGAGCCAGTTGAGCTCCAGGTTGCCTTCCCCCTGGTAGCAGGACTGCAGACGGTCCTTGATCTGCGCGTTGATGGTGCGAATAGGGAAGACGCAAAGCGCAGAGTCGTCGGGTGGCTGATGGTACTGCTTCTGTCCTTTGGAGAAAATGGCAAAGAGGACATCCTCCTGGGCCGTGACGTTGAGGGACTTGGCCAGCACATCTCCTGGCTTGGAGAGGTACGCTGCTTGCAGGAGGCGGTACTCTGTGTCCCCCTTGACGCAGCCAAAGGGCAGAGAGACATAGGAATGGAATTTGGGGTCATCTTTGCAGAGACGGACTATGCGAGACGTGTAAAAGAGATCACTGGCGGAGTTGATGGAGACACCCTCTGGGGTCTCTGGCTGGACAGTCAAAAAATAGACAAAGTTGCCACTGGCAAAACCATAGATGTAGAAGATGTCAAAGTGCGAAACGAGGGCCAAGGTATCTGAGGGGATTTTGATGAGGGATGAGACAAAGTCACTGTGGAGCTCATAATCCAACATTGCTGATGACTCTGGGTCCCGGGGAAGTTTGCGGCTGGAGAGGGTCGGGAAATAATCCTGCTTCCCATCCACCGCTGTGCCGATGAAGAGCTTCCCGTCTTCGCCTTCCGAGCGCACAATCACACCATACATCGTGCCCGTCTTATTGACACTGGAGAGGTAGTGCTCCTTTTTGTGCGAGGGCTCTACCAAGATAAAGAGGTCATCCAGGCGCAGCAGCTTGCAGACCCCCTGGTAGAGGCTACCGCAAGCCAGCAGCCGGTTCTCAGAGTAGTCAATGATCAGCAGCTTGTTGACATTGTTGGTGAGGGTGAGGACCTCGCTGCATGGCTGAACAATGAGGGGTGGGTAGCAGGATTTATTGTCCTCCTCAGGACCAGTTTTATGAGCCACCAAAATGGTCAGGTTACCCGAAAGCTTGTAAACCCTGTTGATAGCTCCAACGTAGACTGCTCCGGTGCCTTGGTGGACAGTCAGGTGGTTAAACGTCCAGTCCCGGTTCTCGGAGTGGAAAGTGCTGAACAAGGCATTGCTGGACACATTTCGGGAGAGCGATGCCAGGAAGAGACAGAGCAAAGCCACTGACCAGCCATCGGAGTCCAGTACCCGAGGCCAGTTCTTCCTCTGATCCATCCTGGGAAAGACAAACTTTGTGTTCCCTGCGCTTGTCCTGTGGCCCAGCAATGTCCCTCACATGGTTCTGGGGAAAGAAAAGAAACACACAGAGCAAAGGATTAGATCCAGTGTGCCCTGCAGATAAAATTCAAAGGAGGCTTTCTAATTATAATTACACAGTCCTTGAGATAAAGTGAGGACGTCTCTAAGCCCAACAAGAATTAAGCAGGTCTCCTAACTTATTGGTAAACAGTTCAGGCTTGATGTTTTGCCACTCGGTTCAGGCTCAGCGTGTTAATTTGTTATGTGGTTTAGCTGTTTATAATGTACTCTGCTCAGCCATGGGAGGGGATAATAAACTTCAGCCCAAGACAAAGCCCGCAGCTCACACACCCAACCATCAATTTGCAATCTTGGCTAAAAGGATGTCTCCTGCAGGGTATGTTGTTGGAAGCAACAGAGGAAATAAGAGGTGTTTTCTACCTTTAAATCCTCTATGATTTAATTTGGAAATCTGAGGAAGTCTCATGCAGGCAAGCTCATTGAGCATATATAGACCAAAGCCACCAGCATCTCCCCTCCACCCCTCCCCAGAGCCAGAAGTACCTCTGCACGTGATTTTCAGACAGAAACTTCTCACTGCCTTCACAAGGTACTTTACTGTCAAAAAGTAGCTGCCACCAGGGTGGGGGCACATGGTTAGATCAGCAACCAAACACTGCCAGCAGCACCACGTGCCAGGGAGACACCACCGATCTGGGAGCCTTGGACTAATTTCCTGCTCTAACAAAACTTCCAGGTGTTGATTAAAACCTACAGAAAGCAACAGCTTGGACACTGGGTCCAGAAGACCCGATGCCAACCAAATTGTCCATACACCCTTCCCGACAGCTCTGCGGATAACAGTCAGAAGCACAGCCTCCTTCCACTGACATGGTTTCACCCAAACAGACAAAGGGAGGTAGCACTGGAGCTGGAGATCTGTGGCCAAAATCTATGTTGAAATGGGACACAGAAGACAGACAGGTTTGGTAGTTGTTTGTTTTGTTTTGGTGGGTGCTCCCAAAGCACCTACCCTCATCTAGGCCTGAGGGATGGCTGAAGCCCAGCTGATCCCCATCCTCCCTGCCCGCAGCTGTCAGGCCGAATTAGCAATCACCAGGCTGGAATTTCCTTAGGAAACGGGCGCTCGCCTGGGAGAGGCTCCGGCTACACAAGGCGCGTTTACATCAGAGCTTTCCCTGCGCCCTCACGGGACAGCATGCACACACATGCAGACACAGTAGCTGTTGAAGAGGACCCTTATAACCCTCAGCCTGCCTCACCTCATCACCTAGCACCTCTGCTAAGATGGCAGACTTCCCTAGCAAAAGTATGAACATTGAAGACAATCTGAATCCAAATCCATGTATTTCCATGTCCGTCTCATCTAAGGGGGTCCAGCTTGGACCATCCCACACAGGAGGTACTACTGGCTTGGTTCCCAGCTCAGCCCCAGACTTCCACACCACCTCAGGCTCCCACAAAGTACCTGGAAGTGATGGCAGCCAAGCACCCTGCAAGGCAGCAAGGACCCAGCTGAGCAGATCTGCTCAGAGGAGCTGTCGGGCCAGCAGAACAATACTCTGAGGCAGGCACCATGTAAGGGCCCTGAGAGCATCCCCACACCGGGGCTCTGTACCGTCCTTGTCACCACAGACATGCCTGGAGGTCACTGGATTGCGTCTCATCCTTGTTATCGCCTCCAGGCCTGATCATGACTTGTGCTCCTGGCTTGACCTCGGGCCTGCTCATCACCACAGATGTGCCTGACTGCCTGGACTCAGAAAACTCTCACAGAGTTCTCCTTTATCCCAAATTATGCATTCCTTACACGCTCCAGGCTGGACGATCAAAGGAACCATTTCAGCCTGCCTTGGGGAGAGATGTTCTCCACCACCCCACAGGGTCACACCAGCTCTGCTAAGAGGCTGAGGACAAGCCACCTGCCCTCCCTGCACTGAGGTTCCATCGCTGCCCTCCACGGCTGCGCACGCCCCGAGCACGCAGGCTGGGGAGAATCGGCGCTCTTTGCAAATTTGACTTTTCTCCCCTGCCCCGTGTGCAAACGCAGGAGGCCGGGCCCTGGCACAGCCCACGCTCAGCTGCCCTCACCTGCGGGCAGCCACCGATTCGATTGATGCTGATCTCCCTTTTGGTATTTAAAATCAGTCACACTGCTGAAAACCGACACTGAGCTCATAAGCGAGCCGTCACCGAACGGCCACTCTTTGTGCTTGTTAACGCCGGCTTGTGCTTGTTAACGCCGGCAGCCGGAGGTGGGTGTTTCTGAGAGGTGACAAAGGAGGCCTGTCCCCGGGCGGCACGTCTCAGCGTCACTGACAAGACAGGAGAGCGCGGTAATGGGTTTCTCATTCTGCTCGGGGATACATTTCCCCGGCTGCTTTCTTCTTGTTTCCAATCTCTTAATTTCCACCTTTGGCTAAAGCAGTTTCTCTCTCCCCCAGCCAGGACGCAGACCCCGCTGCATTCTCATTATCGTTTGGATGATTGTGGCAGAAAGCAGCCGCCCGCGCTGCGGACCCGAACGTGCCACAACAGCACCCGGCTCTTCTCATTAAATTTCCGAGCGAACATTCCAAAACTGTTCTCTGAATCGAGAATCTTTCAAAAGGGCACAAATCAAAGCGAGATTCTGCTCAGAGGAAGGCCCTCCATGCCACCCACCCAAGGGCTGCTGGTGACCACAGTGGGCACCACCAACCTGATCACGGGCACCGCGATCTCGGCACACCTTTGTTCTTGGATAATGCAGCAGTGCAGCCCAAGACACCGAGAATTCCACGTGTGTCGTGGCAGGGAGAAGCCAGCCGGCAGCACGGTGCCTTTTTGTAAACACATGGGGAACCCCACGCCATGGAAGAGCTCAGGAGGAGCCCAGGAAAGCTGGCACGAGAGCTGCAGATACTGGAGTCCCGTGGAGCGGCCAAGTCAGCAGCAGAGCACCTCCAGGTCAACGCAAGAGAGAGCCCGAGCGCCGCGGTGCTCCGAGGAAGTGCTCGGACCACCAGCTCCCCTCGCCTCGGGGAGGGCACGGAGGTGGTGGCTGCAGCGCTGAAGGCCACGGGGGAAGCAGGCTCTGCCCTGGGCAGCGCAAAAGGGCTTTTCTCCAAGGCCAAAGCGTCCCTTACTAAGAGGATCCCAAAAATAAAGCCTACCCCAGTTCGTCATTCCCTGAGAAGAAGAGATGCTTCTGGAGCAGAGGGCTCTGGTTCAAGGGAAGTCCAGAAAGTGAAGGAGGTTCTGCAGAGAGCAGGGAGGCTCCACGGTAAAGCTCAGCACACAACAATTGTCCTGCTCAACAGCTTTCCAGTTTTTAAAAAGTTGTTCCATTGCAAAGTGAGAAAAGAACAGTGCAAGCTAGAAATTAATAAATTTAACTAATTCAATGTTTTTTTTATATACACACACACACACACACACATATATATGGGACAACAGAAGCTCTTCACTCAGACCACAGCAGTTTTTTATCTTTTCCAGCAACATGTTCACTCGGAGACAGTACAAAGCCAGAGCCAGTCTGGAGCTGCTCTGCGACGGCGCTGTCAGCTGAAGCCGAACTTCTATGCAGTGCCTTACAGTGAAGGTCGTGCAGAATATTTGTGAACACTCGCTGCCAAAGGCAAGAGAGATCATTCAGGAAAAAGAATCCGTGTTTTCAAACATCATTTGAAGGTGACAGCATGGCTGTGAACAGACATCCTACTGGAATGAGCCAGCGATCGATGGTTCAGCCCCGGCTCCCCGTCAGCCCCGGCTGGAGCAGCTCCCCACCACCCCAGGTCTGGGTGGGGGCAACATGTGGGTGCAGAACACGGGCTAAGTAGTGCTCAGTGATACAGATATCAAACAGCAACAGAAACCTGTTGTACGCCCTATGGAGGGGCTTGGGGATGGCTCAGTACAGCTGGGGAGTTAAACACCAGAGAAGCAGGAGAGTGGGCGATTTTAACTCTGATCCTTAATACTATTTGACCGTTAATTTTTTGTCTTTTCTTGGAAGCGAGTTTAAAATATGGCCTTAAAAGCAATCTGAAGCTATTAGTAACGCAAGGTGAAAGAGAGAGTAAATTCAGGGACACAATATAAACCCAAGCAGCTGAAAGGCTTCAATTAGGCTGAAAGAAGTTATCTGGTATTTAAATAATTATTAGATTGAAGGAATAATCACAGGTCTGAGCCAATTTTTCCCCCCCACTGTCATCCTAATGGGGACTATAATATTATTATTCAAATGTCCATGATTCTCATTGAGGGAGGAAGAAAAAAGGGCTCATTTAATCTCCATGCAACAGGGCTTCAGGAGGCCCGATTAGTCATTTCTCTTATTTCAGCTGTCACTCACTCATGGGCATCACGGTTTGTCATTAGTGGTATTTTATGCACAGTAAAAAAAAAAAAAAAAAAAAAAAAGACTGAAAAAGGAAAATTAAAGCAAAACCAAAAAGAGAATCTCCTGTGGAAAATAACGGATCAAAGGAACAATTTTGATGTCACCAGTGCAGTAGCTGTGTTTGCTTTGCGGTGCCGCTATCTTTTCTTTTGGGGTAGGGTTGGTCTTGTGAGCAATGATTTATACCCGGCCCCACACCAGCACCGCTGTGCCCTCATCGGCCACCTCTGCTCCGTCAGGTCCTGCACCCCTGGGATGCTCCATCCCCCCCGGAGGAGGCATCTGCACCGACCCCGGCATCCTCACCTGCGCCCTCAGCATCCCAGTGCCACCTGCTTTTCCTGGGCTGTCCCTGCACAGTTCCCAGCCCAGAGGCCACCAGGGTCCCCAGCCACCCTGCAAAGGGGGAACAGAGCGAGCCGTAAAACCCACTATGGTTTTTCTCCTAAGGCCACGTGGGTTTGGGGAGTTGCCCCACGGAACAAAGCCTCCTGAGAAATCACTGAGCTTGCAGGGAGGGGACAACGGGCCCGTGATTGCTTTCTAAGCAGGAGGTGGATTC